CTTGGAGCTCCACACTCTCCACTTGGAGCTCCACACTCTCCGCTTGGAGCTCCACACTCTCCACTTGGAGCTCCACACTCTGCACTTGGAGCTCCACACTCTCCACACATCACATTTAGAGCTCAGGGGTTGCTCATCCTTGGAAATTCCCCTTCCTGCCTAACCCCTCTCACCACTGAGGAGCCCCTGAGGGTTTCACAGGGGTTTGGGAGGAAAAAAAAAATCCAGAAATTTGGGCAACTGCGCTCACCACGATGCCATCAGTCATGAAGAGAACCAGGGCGCCGGTGATGTGCACGGCGAAATAGGTGAAGGAAACCCCTCGGAAGTTCTTGCTCTGGCAGCAGCTGAACAAATCCTCGTGACCCGCTGGAGAACAATGCAGAGCAAACGTGAGCAGAGCGTCCCCCTGGGGCTGGGTGGCCGCCAGCCCTCAGAGGGGTTTGTTTTGTGGGACAGCTGCAGGACAGAGCCAGGCAGGACCCTGAACGTGGGGCACTGCTGAGCCTGGGGGGCTCCACCTCACCTTCATCTTCCTCTGAGCTTCCAGAGGGAAATGGGAATGGGTGTGGGGTCTGCCCAAAGCCTGGGAGCCCGGTATGTTGGGGTACGTGCTGCCCACACCCCAAAATCCTGGCTCTCCATACCCTGGGATCCCAGCTCTCCATCCACCAAAATCCTGGGTCTCCTCACCCCAAAATCCTGGCTCTTCATACCCCAAAATCTTAGCTGTCCATACCTCAAAATCCTGGGCTTTCCACACCCCAAAATCATGACTCTCCATTCCCCAAAACCCTGGGTCTCCTCACCCCAAAATCCTGGCTCTCCATACCCCAAAATCCTGGGTTCTCCACACCCCAAAATCCTGGCTCTTCTCACTCTAAAATCCTGGGCTTTCCATATATCAAAGTCCTGGCTCTCCACACCCTGGGATTCCAGCTCTCCACACACCCCAAAGTCCTGGGTCTCCATACACCAAAATCCTGGGTTCTCCATACCCTCGGATCCCAGCTCTCCATACCCCAAAATCCTGGCTCTCCATACCCCAAAATCCTGGCTCTTCTCACCCTAAAATCCTGGCTTTCCATAACCCAATATCCCGGGCTCTCCATACCCCAAAATCCTGACTCTCCATTCCCCAAAACCCTGGGTCTCCTCACCCCAAAATCCTGGCTCTTCTCACCCTAAAATCCTGGGCTTTCCACACCCCAAAATCCTGGCTCTCCACACCCTGGGATTCCAGCTCTCCACACACCCCAAAATCCTGGGTCTCCATACACCAAAATCCTGGGTTCTCCATACCCTCGGATCCCAGCTCTCCATACCCCAAAATCCTGGGTTCTCCACATCCCCCAAAATCCTGGCTCTTCTCACCCCAAAATCCTGGCTCTTCTCACTCTAAAATCCTGGGCTCTCCATATACCAAAACCCTGGCTCTCCACACCCCAAAATCCTGGCTTTCCATACCCTGGGATCCCAGCTCTCCATACCCCAAAATCCTGGGTTCTCCACAACCCAAAAATCCTGGCTCTTCATACCCCAAAATCCTGGCTCTTCTCACCCTAAAATCCTGGCTTTCCATAACCCAATATCCTGGGCTCTCCATATGCCAAAATCCTGGGTTCTCCACACACCCTAAAATCCTGGCTCTCCACACCCCAAAATCTGGGCTCTCCACACCCCAAAATCCTGGCTCTTCTCACTCTAAAATCCTGTGTTTTCCATATGCCAGAGTTCTGGCTCTCCATACCCTGGGATCCCAGCTCTCCATACCCCAAAATCCTGGTTCTCCACACACCCCAAAATCCTGGGCTTTCCACACCCCAAAATCATGACTCTCCATTCCCCAAAACCCTGGCTCTTCTCACCCCAAAATCCTGGCTCTTCTCACCCTAAAATCCTGGGTTCTCCATACCCTCGGATCCCAGCTCTCCATACCCCAAAATCCTGGGTTCTCCACATCCTCCAAAATCCTGGCTCTTCTCACCCCAAAATCTGTGCTCTCCATAAGCCAAAATCCTGGGCTTTCCACACCCCAGAATCCTGACTCTCCACACCCCAAAACCCTGGGTCTCCTCACCCCAAAATCCTGGGCTTTCCATATACCAAAATCCTGGCTCTCCACACACCCCAAAATCCTGGGCTCTCCACACCCCAAAATCATGACTCTCCATTCCCCAAAATCCTGGGTTCTCCATACCCTCGGATCCCAGCTCTCCATACCCCAAAATCCTGGGTCTCCATTCCCCAAAATCCTGGGCTCTTCATACCCCAAAATCTTAGCTGTCCATACCCCAAAATCCTGGGCTTTCCACACCCCAAAATCATGACTCTCCATTCCCCAAAATCCTGGCTCTTCATACCCCAAAATCCTGGCTCTTCTCACCCCAAAATCCTGGCTCTCCATTCCCCAAAATCCTGGGCTCTTCTCACCCCAAAATCCTGGCTCTTCTCACTCTAAAATCCTGGGCTTTCCATATACCAAAGTCCTGGCTCTCCATACCCTGGGATCCCAGCTCTCCACACCCCAAAATCCTGGGCTCTCCACACCCCAAAATCCTGGCTTTCCATAACCCAATATCCCGGGCTCTCCATATGCCAAAATCCTGGCTTTCCACGCCCCAAAATCCTGGCTCTTCTCACTCTNGGGGCTCCACCTCACCTTCATCTTCCTCTGAGCTTCCAGAGGGAAATGGGAATGGGTGTGGGGTCTGCCCAAAGCCTGGGAGCCTGGTACGTTGGGGTACGTGCTGCCCGCACCCCAAAATCCTGGCTCTCCATACCCTGGGATCCCAGCTCTCCATCCACCAAAATCCTGGGTTATGCACACACCCTAAAATCCTGGCTCTCCATATGCTAAAATCCTGGGCTCTCCACACCCCAAAATCCTGGCTTTCCATAACCGAAATCCTGGGTTCTCCACACACCCTAAAATCCTGGCTCTCCATTCCCCAAAATCCTGGGCTCTCCACACCCCAAAATCCTGGCTTTCCATAACCCAACATCCTGGCTCTCCATCCACCAAAATCCTGGGTTCTCCACACACCCTAAAATCCTGGCTCTTCTCACTCTAAAATCCTGGGCTCTCCATATACCAAAACTCTGGCTCTCCATTCCCCAAAATCCTGGCTCTCCATACCGTGGGATCCCAGCTCTCCACACCCCAAAATCCTGGGTTCTCCACAACCCAAAAATCCTGGCACTCCATATGCCAAAATCCTGGGTCCTTCACACACCCTAAAATCCTGGCTCTCCACACCCCAAAATCCTGACTCTCCATTCCCCAAAACCCTGGGTCTCCTCACCCCAAAATCCTGGCTCTTCTCACCCTAAAATCCTGAGCTTTCCATATACCAAAGTCCTGGCTCTCCATACCCTCGGATCCCAGCTCTCCATACCCCAAAATCCTGGTTCTCCACACACCTCAAAATCCTGGGTTCTCCACACCCTAGGATCCCAGCTCTCCATACCCCAAAATCCTGGGTTCTCCACATCCCCCAAAATCCTGGCTCTTCTCACCCCAAAATCTGGGCTCTCCATAAGCCAAAATCCTGGCTCTCCACACCCCAAAATCCTCGGCTCTTCTCATCCCAAAATCCTGGCTCTTCTCACTCTAAAATCCTGGGTTTTCCATATACCAAAGTCCTGGCTCTCCATTCCCCTAAATCCTGGCTCTCCATACCCTGGGATCCCAGCTCTCCATACCCCAAAATCCTGGGTCTCCATACACCAAAATCCTAGGTTGTCCATACCCTTGGATCCCAGCTCTCCATCCCCCAAAATCCTGGGTTCTCCACACACCCCAAAATCCTGGCTCTTCTCACCCCAAAATCTGTGCTCTCCATACACCAAAATCCTGGCTCTCCATTCCCCAAAATCCTGGCTTTCCATACCCTGGGATCCCAGCTCTCCATACTCCAAAATCCTGACTCTCCATACCCCAAAATCCTGGCTCTCCTCACCCCAAAATTCCTGGCTCTCCACACCCCAGAATCCTGAGCTCTTCTCATCCCAAAATTCTGGCTCTTCTCACCCCAAAATCCTGGGCTTTCCATATACCAAAGTCCTGGCTCTCCATACCCTGGGATCCCAGCTCTCCACACCCCAAAATCCTGGCTCTCCACACATCCCAAAATCCTGGGCTCTTCATACCCCAAAATCTTGGCTGTCCATACCCCAAAATCCTGGGCTTTCCACACCCCAAAATCCTGACTCTCCATTCCCCAAAACCCTGGGTCTTCTCACCCCAAAATCCTGGCTCTTCATACCCCAAAATCCTGGGTTCTCCATACCCTTGGATCCCAGCTCTCCATACCCCAAAATCCTGGGTTCTCCACATCCCCTAAAATCCTGGCTCTTCTCACCCCAAAATCTGTGCTCTCCATACCCCAAAATCCTGGGCTTTCCACACCCCAAAATCATGACTCTCCATTCCCCAAAATCCTGACTCTCCATTCCCCAAAATCCTGGGTCTCCTCACCCCAAAATCCTGGGCTCTTCTCACCCCAAAATCCTGACTCTCCATTCCCCAAAATCCTGACTCTCCTCACCCCAAAATCCTGGGCTCTTCTCACCCTAAAATCCTGGCTCTTCTCACTCTAAAATCCTGGGCTTTCCATATACCAAAACTCTGGCTCTCCATACCCCAAAATCCTGGGTTCTCCACACTCTGAAATTCTGGGTTCTCCACACCTCCAAATTCCACACCTGCTCACCCCGAAGAATTCCCTGAAATCCCCTTTCACTGCCCAGGGCCAAAGCCATCTCTCCAGGAACAACACGGAACACTTCCCAAAGTCCTGAACCATATTTACTTCTGAGATATTCACTGTTTACCCAAAGAACTGACTGTGACACGTCCCTGCTGGCCAGGAAAGAACAATGTCACCATTGTCCCCAAGGCAGGGCGCAGCCCTGAGGTCAAGAGCAAACTATCGCTGGATTTCGCTTTTCCCCTCAAACAAGGGAGGGGAAATTGGTTGTTTCTTATTCCTTCCCTATAAAAATCAGCATCTGCAGCACAAGGAACTGAAAAAAATCAGTAAGAAATGTGACCCTTTAAAGGGAATAATC